AGAAGAAATCTATTTTAAAAAAATATATTTTTATTGATTTCAGAGAGGAAGGGAGAGGGAGAGAGAGACACATCAATGATGAAAGAGAAAGAATCATTGGCTGCCTCCTGCAAGCCCCACAGTGGGAATTGAGCCCTCAACCCAAGCATGTGCCTTGACCATGAACCAAACCATGACTTCCTGGTTCATAGGTGAGTGCTCAATCACTGAGCCACACCGGCTGGGCTAATGTGATTTTAATCCCAGTGTATATTGACTCTATATTAAGATTTTTGAGGAAAATTTCTTATTTTTCTTTTTGTTTGTTTATGGGATATCTGAGAAAATAATCTTTGGTTTGACTATCATGAAATTATCTTATGAATTTCTTATATATTAATTAAAGGTTAGAGATGATTTAATAGGTTTGTATTATAAACCAGACCTTTGACTGTTTTGATTATCTTAAGTAGGGCCTGAAATAGGATAATAGATAAGAGGGAATTGATTTGTGGAGGTAGAATAGATAGTATTTGTGAGATAGGGGGCAGGGTAAAGAGAAGATTCAGTCGTGATAACTGACTCAGAAATTTCAAGTACTCAAAGGTAAGTTTAAGCATATGTTTCTTAAACATATCTATTTTACCTAGGATATGCTGTTGTTATTGCTTTGATTTTAAAAGCAGAGGAAAGCACTGAAGAAAGACAGGTTCAAGAGAAGATTTCTTTGGTTGAGGATTTTTTAGACTCCCATACTGACTACTCAATTCAGCATTCTTTGGAAGTTTTTCCCAGTTAGTAATCAAACTCTAATGGCTCATTCTTTTATTTGGGATAACCTGGAGATGAGGTTTAAGATATAATTTACCCTTTGATTATCTGTGGCCATTGGAATATTGTAAAGACTAACGTTTGTTTGTAGACTTACAGTAGTAAATGAGCTAAGAGAATTGGTATCCCACAAATGTCTTGGGAAGAAAGAAGTATTACTATATACCAAGATATTTAAAAACATTTTCAGTTTTTTTGCAAGGCCATATAGGCATGTGAGAAAAAAAAATATTTTTAAACCTTGGATCTTTATTTTTTTTAATGTATTTTATTGACTTTTTACAGAGAGGAAGGGAGAGGGATAGAGAGTTAGAAACATCAATTAGAGAGAAACACTGACCAGCTGCCTCCTGCACACCTCCTACTGGGGATATGCCCGCAACCAAGGTACATGCCCTTGACCAGAACCGAACCTGGGACCCTTTAGTCCGTAGGCCCACGCTCTGATCCAAACCGGTTTGGCTGAGAAAAATATTGATGACAGCAAGCTTCTTAAGATGTAACAGGCAAGAGTTTCAGGGTTAATATTATAGTAGTCATTCACCCTTTCCTCACAACATTACAGGACACGTTAGAATTGCCACTATCTTCAATACATTGTTTAAATTACTTTGTAGATAAGTGCTATAAATAGTAACTCCTGCTCCCCCTCCCCAGTATTTTAACCGATACTTTAGATTTATAAAGTATTCCTCCTACCTCACAGCCTCTGGACAACTGGTTATTGTAGCAATAAAAATGGAAATAGAAGAAATATAGTTAGAGAAGACTAGCTTTTGAAAGCTAGCTTTTCACTTTGATCTATATATTTTAAGCAAATCTGGTACTAGGTTTACACATTTAGAATGGTAAAACATGTATCTTTTATGGGTGTGGCTTGATTCTAAAATCCATTGTGACCCAAATAGGAAGTATGCCTTGCCTTAAAGGATTTAAATGAGGGCAAGCTACTATTATTTAGGTCCATGTTAACATAAGGAAGCATCACATATACATTTAAATTACTTTGTTTCTGTATGTGTAAGAATATCCATATTATATAAAATCACCCCTTCTACTCCAAAATAATGCAGAAGTCTTTGAACCAGTTTTTCTGACAATAGCCTACCACCTCTTCATAAAGGATTTTGGTCAATTAGCATACTTCCCTACTATGTTTCAAATGATTTAGTTTGCCAAAGTGTTTTATACATATACTAGAGGCCCGGTGCACGAAAATCCATGCACTGGGGGCGGTGTAGGGGGGTCCCTCAGCTTGGCCTGTGCACTCTCACAGCCTGGGACCGTTTGGGGGATGTCCACGTGCTGGCTTAGGCCTGCTCCCCGGGGAATCGGGCCTAAGCTGGCAGTCAGACATCCCTCTGGCAGCCCGAGGAGGCGGGAGAGGCCACCGCAGCTGCTCTCGCAGCTGTCAGCTGGCTTGTGGCTGAGCAGAGCTGCTGAAGCTCTATCCACCGAACCACGCTGGCCAAGTAGAGAAGAACAATTTTCTCATGACCAAACGTACTAATGATAAGTACATCACATTCCTAAATGTGATGGGCATGTTAGTTACTGCCACTGAATTTGGTTTTTTAGTTTTATTCATTTCAAACGGCCAGATCCAGCCTGCAGGCCATAGTTTGCCCCGGGCTGGTATAGTTAGACCTTGATTTTAAGTATTTCTGAGTGAGGTTGTAGAGGAAAGAGGATCTTTAATATTGCTAAAATTCTCTAATAAAATTCATGCAATCCTAGTGTTAAAATACAGTTTTCCTACCCTGACCAGTGTGTGTGGTTCAGTAGTTAGAATGTCAGCCTATGCACCAAAGGATCGCGAGTCTGTTTATGGGTCAAGGGCTTATACCTACCTGGGTACAGGTTACATCCTGGCCCTGGTCAGACACGTTCGGGAAGCAACCAATCCATGCTTCTCTCACATATATGTTTCCCTCTCTCTCTCCCCTCCCTTTCTCCCCCCTTCCACTCTTTCTAAAAAGCAATGGAAAAAATATCCTTGGATGACCATGAACAAAAAAATAAATATAAATTAAAAAAAAATTTCCCTGAGTACCATATTCCTTGAATCAGAGAATGGAACCAGCTATCATAACAGCACCATAGTTCCTAGGGTTAAAGTTTAGAGAGCCACTGGTTTTGTCTTTATGTTTTGGTTAAAAATTAACAAAATAAATGTTTAGACATTTGTGTTTCAGATTATTGTTTTTGTAGTTAGTTATGTAAGTTTTTAGAAATATTTTTTTATTGATTTCAGAGAGGAAAGGAGAGGGAGAGAAAGATAGAAACATCCAACGATGAGAGAGAATCATTGATTGGCTGCCTCCTGCATGCGTGCCCCCCCCCGGGGGGAGGGATTGAGCCCGCAGCCCAGGCATGTGCCCTTGACCCGGATCCAACCTGGGACCCCTCAGTCCTCACGCCAACGCTCTATCCACTGAGTCAAATCTATCCACTGAGTCAAACTGGCTAGGGCTAGTTATGTAATTTTGTTGTTGTTAACCCTCACCCGAGGATATTTTTTTTAACATATTTTTATTGCTTTCAGAGAGGAAGGGAGAGGGAAAGATAAAAACATCAATGATGAAAGAGAATCATTGATTGGCTGCCTCCTGCTCACCCCCTACTAGGGATTGAGCTGCAACCTGGGCATGTGCCCTTGACTGGAATCGAACTTGGGACCTTTTAGTCCACAGGCCAACGCTCTGTCCACTGAGCTAAAGCAGCTAGGGCACTGAAGATAATTTTTCATTGATTTTTAGAGAAAGTGAAAGGGAGGGGGAGAGACAGAAAACATCCATATAAGAAAGATACATTGATTGGTGCCTTTCTCATGTACCCTACCGGGGATCAAGCCTGCAAACAAGGTACTTGCCCTTGACTGAACTGAAACCCAGGATTTTTCTGCAGGCCAATGCTCTATCCACTGAGCCAAACTGGTTAGGGCAAGTTATATAATTTTATATATTTGGTAATGTGCTAAGGTATGATTTGGAAAATCATCTCATTTACATTTAATGCTAATAATGGAGTTTTGTAATAAGTTAACCAAATCTTTCTTTTAGAAAATATGGCCATAGTTAGAAACTCCATCTATATTTCTAAGGAAGGTTTTAAATAATTGCTTATCTTTCTGTCACAGGGAGTCAGAAACACATTTTTCTTCTGACACAGATTTTGAAGACATTGAAGGAAAAAACCAAAAGCAAGGCAAAGGAAAAGTATGTACAGAATATGTGACTTTGTTTTGATATTCAAGGCCTTTATATATGTGTTAGTTATATCTCAGATGTTTTCTCTCTTAAAAATGCCTTTTTTTCTGATTGGTATGGTAAGCCTTCTGAACACATGCGGGTTTTGGACTTCTGTCTACATCAAGTATCTTTTGATTATCTATTTTCACTACTGTAAAGTAGAAATTAGTACATTGTTGTTTCTAGTAGTTCATTTTGTGAAGCATAGTGCGCTAAGCTAAATGTGATATTCTGTTGGCTTTATTTTTATTTACCCACGAGTAGTCAGATATAAAGCAAAGCAGTAAATTTCTCATTCTAAAGCACGCTAAAAATGTAACCCACAATCAGTTTATATCTAATGGGTTAGAGTGGACAGTAGTTATAATGAGTAAAACTAATGTTAAGTGACATTCTGAGTCAATAGGATACAAGTTTAGAATATGAGTGGGTACCCTGAGGGTTCTGGATAACTTTGCTAATGGTCAAATCATTTTGCTATTTTAGAAAGTACATTTGACTCTGTGCGTGTCGGTAAATACATTGTGCAAAATGTGACTTATTTATATGTTTATTGATTTCAGTGAGGAAGGGAGTGGGAGAGAGAGATAGAAACATCAATGATAAGAGAGAATAATTGGCTGCCTCCTGCACACCCTCCAATGTGGGTGGAGCCCACAACCTGGGCATGTGCCCTTGACCGGAATCAAACCTGGGGCTCTTCAGTCCTGGGGCCAATGCTCTATCCACTGAGCCAAGCTGCATATGATGGTGACTTATTCTTTAAAAGTTTTGGTGAACATAGGTACATAATACCTATGTATAAACATGAACATAGAATTTTACTTAAATTAATTCATACTGTGCAAACTGTTTAATTTGCTTATAAAACCTAATGGTATGTTGTCAGCAGCTTTCCTATAGTTAATTTTTTTCTGTCTGTAATTTTTAATGATGTCATAGCATCCCATTTGGAAAAATATTTTTATTGATTTCAGAGAGGAAGGGAGAGGGAGAGAGAGATAGAAACATCAATGATGAGAGAATTATTGATCAGCAGCCTCCCACACACCTGCTACTGGGGATTGAGCTGTGACCTCCTGGTTCATAGGTCGATGCTCAAACACTGAGCCACTTGGACGGGGCCATAGCATCCCATTTTATGTATGGACATAATTTTTAACTAGTTCATGGAATACTATTTTATGTTTTTGTTTGTTTGTTTCGTTAATCCTCACCTGAGGATATTTTTTTCCCATTGATCTCCAGAGAGAGTGGAAGGATAGGGGTAGAGACACAGAGAAATATTGATGTGAGAAAGACTCATGGGTTGGTTGCTCCCTGACCACAGCTGGGGATCGAACCTGCAACCAAGGTATGTGCCCATGATTAGAATTGAACTGCTAACTCTTCAGTCCATGGCCGATGCTCTAACAACTGAGCCAAATTGGTTAGGTCAGAATACTATTTTAGAGTGAACATAATTCATTTGTTTCATAATTTCATATGCTCTTTTAGTCCCTTAAAAGTAGAAGTTTTGAGAGAGAAAGAAAGTGTGAATGAATAAAAATATTAACTCATGACTATCCAAAGACAGCCATAATTCTAGTGGGTAGTATGGTTATTCATTAGAAAACTATTTTGGCCCAGGGAGCGTGGCTCAGTGGTTGAGCGTCAACCTATGAATCAGGAGGTCACGGTTCGATTCCTGGTTAGCAAACATGCCCGGGTTGAGGTCTTGATCCCCAGTATGAGACGTGCAGGAGGCAGCCAATCAATGATTATTTCTCAGCATTGATGTTTCTATCTCTCTCTCTCTCTCCCTTCCTTCTCCCCTTTTCTTTGATATCAATAAAAATGTATTTTTAAAAAACACCAGATTTTTGTTTGGAACCATCTTGCAAAACTGAAACTCTACTTTTGACTTTGATTTAATTTGCACATTGGGACAAGACTCAGAATGGCAACTGCATAGAGGATTCCCCATAGTTTTTGTGCTATAGTTTGGTTAACTTTACCCACTGTTATGAGTGAGGTGTAAGGGGTCAGATCAGGAGTACAATAATAACTATTTTGATGTTTGGCACTATATTATGTATGTTCCATGCACTCTGGTAATACATATTATCTCATTTAATATTTGAGCAACTTTGTGGATTAGAAAACTTCCTTATTTTATAGATAGGAAACTAAGGTCCAGAGAACTCAGTGGTTAAAGAATTTGAGCCTATATCTGTTGAAGGTGTTTTAAGTCCACCATAACAGTGATTTTCAACTGGTATGCTATAGAATGTTTAGAACATGTAATACCTGGCTATTTTAGTCAGGGACATTGACCCCTTTTCCCTTAGATTGTCAAATAAAAAACAACAACAGCAGCAAACACAACAATACCAGTCTGAGGTGAATGTCCTGTCTTGAACCATAAATATCCTATATAATAAAAGGTTGATATGAAAATCGACCAAATGGCAGAATGACCGGTCGCTATGACTTGCACTGACCACCAGGGGGCAGACGCTCAACTCAGGAGTTGCCCCCTGGTGGTCATTGTGCTCTGACAGGAGGAGCACCACTCAGACAGAAGGCCTGAGACAGGCTAATGGCTCACAGCTGGTGATCGCAGCAGTGGTAGTGGGGGGGAACCTCTCCTGCCTCCACAGCAGCGCTAAGGTAGTCTGACTGCCAGCTTAGGCCCCCTCCCTGTTGGACTGCAAGAGGGTGCATGCCGGACTGAAGGACCCTCCCCCCCTCACCCCTCCCCCAGTGCATGAATTTTCGTGCACTGGGCCTCTAGTATAGATCATATAATAGAGTTGCATCTTACTGGTCATGTTGCCTAATAATGTTATTTCTGATTGGTTAATTCTTCGTACCAGAAATCCTTGTATACAAGTATAGGCACCTGGTTTTTTAAAACGGCATTTTGGAATAAAAGGGCAGGTAATTACTATTTTTGTCAAATCAGCAAGATATATAATACAGCTTTTGTTGTGCCACATAGTTTTAATAATTAGTTTATGTGTGCCATGAGATGAAAAAGGTTGAAAATTGCTGCACTATAGTATACTACCTCATAGTCTTTTTTTAGAGCTTTTTCCCCTCTAAATGATTGAAACTGGGTTAGCATGTTTACTTCTTGTACTTTCCTGTATTATCACTCTGTGTACATTATTTTTCCTAGCACAGCATATTCACTGAGCCATTTCAATTGTACTAATTAGTTTTTCATAGCAACAGGGAATATTGAGGCATATGATAGATAAATTGCAAATATATAGCTCCATGTTAATTAACTTTAACATTTTATACTTTTCTAGTGTATTCTTTGTAGTTGATCTTTTCTTTCACCCTTATCTTTGAAATTCCTTTTACTGGGGACAAAAGCCTTTCATTCTACAATTAAGAATTAATTACTTGGGTTCACAAAGACTGCATATCATTAACGAAATAATGTAAATTAACCAGTACTTTCTTTCAGTTGTTAGTAAGGTTTGTGAAGTAGTTAAGAGTAGAGTGGTTTTGGACTCTTAAAGGAGGAGAAAGGACCCTTTATTAAACAAAGTATATAAGCATACAGGTCATCAGTGGAAATAAATTTTTAGACCTGGCTGTAGGTAAGGGGTCAGCGAACTGTGGCCTGTTTTTGTACTGCCTATGAGCTAAGACTTATTTTTACATTTTTAAAGGTTTTTAAAAATAAACAAAGAATATATTTCCTGTCTGGCACTTTACAGAAAGTTGCCAACCCTTGCTCTATGTCACAGAAATGTGTTGGTCTAAAAGAGACCTTGGAAATTCTCTATTCTAATCTGTAAAGATTTTAGTATAATTCTGGCATTTTAGAATGAAAACTCTGATTTTGGGAATGACTTGTTTTTCTATAACAAGATATAGAAAGCTGTGGGAGGTATTTTTTACTTAGGCATATAGGCAACCTTTTCACTGATTTATGGAGCCCCCACCCCCAATATTGACAATTTTCTTATAAAGGGGTTTCATTTCCATAGTGTTCACATAAATTGAATTTTCATGATAAATAAGTGTCAGAGGGAGGGCCCAGACAATGAGGTTGATACACCTATTTTTATGCTGTTTGGAATTCCTTTTGTGAGTACACTCTAATGATTTATAAGGACTAAAAATAGGTATTAAGCTAAAATGTTAAACTAAGTATGAGTTACTTATTTGATAAAGCAGCAACCCTATTTAGTAGGCACACTTTTATTATTTTCACTTTACATTTTAGAAATTTCTCTGAAGCACAGCATGGTTAAGTAACTTGCCTAAGATCACTCAGTTAATACGAGTAGAAGTTTGGCCTTACGAAGTTTGTCAGTGTTCATAGGCTAACTACAATGTCATGTGAGGTTCATGGTAGTATAAATGAAAAAATTGATACCACAAAGAGGCTATCACACCATATAATTTTAAATATATTGATTTTAGAGAGGAACGGAGATGGAGAGAGAGAGAGAACATCAGTGATAAGAGAGAATCATCGATCAGCTTCCTCCTGCACACCCCCACACTATGGATTGAGCCCGCAACTTGGGCATGTGCCCTTGAGTGGAATCGACCCTGGGACCGTCTGTCCTCAGGCTGACTCTCTATCCACTCTGCCAAACCAGCTAGGACACAACCATATCATTTTATATGACATGTATGCCACTTCCCTTTAGGTTTAAGCATGATTATGTATCCCATCAGCTGCTTCTTTAGTTTTAAAAATATATATATACTTTTATTGATTTCATGAGAGAGGATCATTGATTGCTTGCCTCCTTCATGCCCCACACTGGGGATTGAGCCCAAAACCTGGGTATGTGTGCTGACTGGGAATTGAACTGTGACCTCCTGGTTCATGGGTTGATGCTCAACCACTGAGCTGTGCCAGCCAGGTTTGCTTCTTTAGTTTTAATTTGAACTCTCAAACATAGTGATATAACTTAACCAACTTGTGTTTTTGTGCAGACTTGTAAAAAAGGCAAAAAGGGCCCAGCAGAAAAGGGCAAAAGTGGAAATGGAGGAAAACCTCCTTCTGGTCCAAACCGAATGAATGGTCATCACCAACAGAATGGAGTGGAAAACATGATGTTGTTTGAAGTTGTTAAAATGGGCAAGAGTGCTATGCAGGTAATGTTTATTGTGTTCTTCTCAATTTATTTTGAACTTTAGTGAATTATATAACATATATCCCTGGTTTTTCAAATTGTGTTTAAAAAAATTCTAACACTGATCATTTGAAAAAAGCAACAAATTAGTTAGAAAACTAGGGATATATATTCATACTTAAGACTGTTAAGCTGTGCTTTACATAATTTTCTATTGCATTATTTTCTTTTATCGGCATATAATAATTATTTGGTCAAAAATATGCTGTTATAAACCCTGATTAAGAGGTTTCAATTTTCCGTGAATTTATATAGCTGCCATCAGAATATGAAGTCCTTTGCCAATACAGAATTCTTGGTTGAGTGACATAATATAACCACTATCCTCTTTAGTGAACTGAATTATTTTGATCACTTGTCTATTGCAAATTTGATTACTTGTGTTGTTTTTTAACAGAAGAGTAAAAAGTTATAACCATGCCAAATCATCCTAATTTTGTTTCTTCATAATCTTAAGACAATAGCATTTAGGTTTTATAATGGATGCATGCTAAACCCATGTGGTTTTTAAATATTGGAAAAACACTGTACTCAAGGAATATACATGCTTAATAAAGTTATTTAATTTATGAAAGCTATAGGGAAAAATTTTTTTTCCTTCATAGAATTAACAAATCAATAAAAGGCACACCTGGATGGGTTAGGGAGAAGTAGCCATTTAAGTTTTTTGCCAATTAACTGAAATATAAATCTTATTTATTGATAAGGACTCATGTATATATGTGCAGTTTTGTAAATGAATTTTTTTAAATTATTAATTGAGACTAATAAAGATCATTTTTCCATGTAAAATGATAAAGAATTATTAGTTTTTAAGCTATCACCAGTTGTGCAGAACATTGTATTTTCTTACATTTGAATTGACCTTCATTTATTTACATATGGCTTGCTTTCATGTTTGTGATTAGGGTTTGGATTTAATTTCTTGTTTAATATCTTGAAAGATTTTGTGTGCACATTCGATACTTTCAAAGAAGAACATCTACGTTACTATACTATATTTAGTCATTCCTAATCTAAAAAATTATCTCCTTTAGTTCCCATTTTGGGTTAATTTTATTGAAGGGATAAATTATTTGTATTATATCATTTAATTACTTTTTTATTATATTATACTTTTTCTCTATAATATTTGTTCAGTTTTGTTAATATAAGGTCTCGACTTTATTCTAATTAGGCTATTCTATTTTTGTCTAGTTTGTAGGGTTTTTGTTTAACTTTTTGTCTTATCAAAAAGTTTTAGTATGAAATGTGAGGGGTTAGCCTTATATTTAATTCTTTTTGTTAATGGTATCTCAACATTTAAAGAATGAACATTTTTCTTATTTTAGTGTTGCTTATGGATTGTCATATATTAAGATTGTACCTCTAAGCCATTTGTTTTTCTGTTTCTAAATGTGCTTTCCCTCTTAAAAGCAGAATGTCCATAGTATATCTGTATTGATTCCCCTGAATCCTTTGTCCACCTTCAGTTTACTTTATGTACTTATTTTTTATATACTTCTGCTTGCATTATTGAACACCAAATTTGATCAAGGAAGTCTCCTGTTTGCAAACTTTTAAAGAGTTCTTCCTTATCTAACAGTTCCAGCTCAGATTTCCTTTTGGGATACTCAGTATTCTCCAACCACAGTATGTACTCTGCCCCCAGACCCTTCTTCTTATTTTTCTCTGTGCCTGGAATAGCCCTTTTTCCTCCTTTCTATATTACATAGGATTGACTAAACCAAATGTCACTCTTGAGAAGCATTCTTGGGCTCTGTTTCCTTCTCCCATTCTCATTGAATGTATTCTTACTTTTCCCTTTTCATTATAGCACTTGGTATATTGTGTTACAGTTATGCATATGTCTGAATTTGCTTCTATATTGTTAATTCCTTGATCAGGTAATGTGTATTATTCTTTTTTTGTATCTCCAAGATATATCTGTTTTAGTAATTATAAGTGAGATCGAGTAAGTACAAGACGGGCTGTTGGTTTTAAGCTAGTTCTTGCATTTTAAGAAAGAAGAAACCATGAATATGCCCTTAGTTCTGTTGAATTTTATTTATAGATATTGAATTTTATTGAATAAGATTTTTAAAAATATGTTCTTAACATACTATTTGATGATTAAAATCTTAAAATGTATTTCAATGTGATAAGCTTGTATTTTGATTACAGCAACCTTATATTTCTAGTATAAATTCTATTTGATCTTCATGAATAATCTTTTAATGTGATGTGGTGATCTTTTTGTAAGATTTCATTAAATATTTTTGTATCTTTATTAATGAAAATAACCCCTGTCCAATTTATTTATTGGTGCATAACAAGCTACCCCAAACTTAGTTATATAAAAGAACAACCATTTTATTATGCTTAGTGATTCTGTGGGCCTAGAATATAGACAGAACTAAATAGGGATGGCTCATCTGCGTTCCTATGCATGATGGCTGGGGCCTTAGCTGAGACAGCTTGATTGTCTGGAGGTGACATAAACAGTTAAGGACTATAATAATCTGGAGGCTTCTTTATCTATGTTTGGTGCTTAGTCTGCAATGACTTGAGGACTGGGCTCAGCTGGAACTGTACCTGGAAGACCTACAACTGGTCCTTCCATGTGGCTTCTGGGTTTGGAGAGAGTATTCTGTGCAGGAAGAAGTATCTAGTTCTCTAGTGCTTCAAGAACCCAATGCAGAAGTTGAATGGCCTGTCACCAAATCTTGGAAGCACCATTACTTCTCCTGCACTATTTTAGAGAAGGGACATGACTTCTTGGGGAAGAATGTCAAACTATTTAGAGCCATGCTTTAAAACTCTCATAGTCGTATAATATATTCTGTTTATTTATATCCCATATATTTGGAATAATCTTAAATACGTTTCTTTTATAAATTTAATTGGTTAACATAAACAGACTGTTGTAAAACATAGAAAAGGACTGAAATCTAGAAAGTAAGTTTAGTTTTAGAATATCTCCAGTCAGTTTATCTGAATCAGGGAGGTGATATTCTCTTTTTCTTTTTTATATTGTGTAATCATATTTGTTTTTGTACATCAAATAGTACATATTTTATTCATTTTGTACCCAATTTTCATATTTACAGTTTTTATATATAGCTTTAAACATTTTCCCCTCCTGACTTTTAATTCTTTTCATTAGCTCTTATTTATCATCCTAATTTTTAAAATTTGATTTATTTAAAAATGGTTTTTGTCCCAGCCGGTTTGGCTCAGTAGATAGAACATTGGCCTGTAGACTGAAAGGTCCCAGGTTTGATTCCCTTCAAGGGCACAAGCCTGGGTTGTGGGCTCGATCCCTAGTAGGGAGCGTGCAGGAGGCAGTCCATCAATGATTCTCTCTCATCATTGTTTCTATCTCTCCTTCTCCCTTCTTCTCTGAAAACAATATATATACATATACATATATGTATATGTATATATATTAGTTAAGGTATTACAGATGTGTCCTCAACCCCCCCATTATAAAAATATATTTTAAAAAATTGTTTTTAACTGTTTTGTGGTTTCCTTTTCTGTCCCCAAGGGAATCAAGTACTGATTTTATTTTTTAGTTTTGGCCTAATTTTAAAAAATTACTAATTTGAGATATACTTCATATACCATAAATTTACCCTTGTAAAAAGTGTACTAGTAAATTCAATGGTTGTTAGTATATTCAGAGTTGTTCTGCTATCACCACAATCTAATTTTAGAATATTTTTCAATACCCCAGAAAGAAACCTCTTGCCCATTAGCTTTCACTTTCTCCTTACCTGCCACCGGTCTAAACAACCACTAATCTACTTCCTATAAATTTGCCTATTTTGGACTGTTCATATAAATAGGATCATGTAATAAATGGTCCTTTTACAGTGGTTTCTTTGACTTAGGATAATGTTTTCAGGGTTCATCCATGTTGTATATGTTATAAATTCTTTTTTTTTATTGCCAAATATTCCATTGTATGAATATATGTTTATTAATTTATTCCTTACATTTGGTTTGTTTCCACTTTTGGGCTAGTAAAACTGAATACTGCTGTTAAGAGTATTCTTGTAAAAGAGTTTTTTTGGACATGTTTTCATTTCTCTTAGGTAATATATACCTTAGGATTTGAGTTGCAGGGTTAATATGGTAACTTTTTGAGGAGCTGCCAAACTGTTTTTCCAAAATGGCAGCAGCATTTTATGTTCTTACTAGCCATGTTTTAGCATTCTGCTTTTTCTTTGCCAACATTTGTTATTGTCTTTATTTTTTATTAGTGGCTCGGTGCACGAAATTTGTGTACAATAAAAGGGAATTAATTAGAGGAAATATTTTAATATCGCTATTTGCCCTTTCTTTATAATAGAAGTGTCAGAGATGAAAGAAAATTAGTAAAATGTATATTGAAATCTCCCTCCTGTCAGAGTCTGGAGTGCGGGACCCAGAGTCAAGTCCCTGCCCACCCA